TCATCTGCAACAGTGACAGCTTACTTCTTCTTTTCCGATTTGGATTCCTTTTATATATTTTTTTTCTTCTCTGATTGCCGTGGCTAAAACTTCCAAAACTATGTTGAATAATAGTGGTGAGAGTGGACAGCCTTGTTTTGCTCCTGATCTTAGTGGAAATGGTTTCAGTTTTTCACCATTGAGAACAATGTTGGCTGTTGTTTTGTCATATATGACCTTTATTATGTTGAGGTAAGTTCCCTCTATGCCTACTTTCTGGAGGGTTTTTTATCGTAAATGGGTATTGAATTTTGTCAAAAGCTTTTTCTGCATCTATTGAGAATGATCATATGGTTTTTCTCCCTCAATTTGTTAATATGGATTATCACATTGATTGATTTGCATATCCACAAGATTTTAATGCAACATACAAAGGCCACTAATAAGGCAAGATATAATATATGAAAGGAAAAATCTAGGACAAAAGCAAGATGCAGTCAGAAAAGTCAATTAAGAAAATGCATGTCTTGAAGTCCAATTTGACCTTCATAAGTTTAGAAGCCATTTTGAAAGGAACTTGTTGTAACTGCACCCCTGTTCTTTTCAGTAAGACCCACTCAAATTAGATGAAGAAAATTGAGGAAGGGACATGTTTAAGAATCTAATTCTCAAAAAATTTCTGAGAACAAAAAGTTGAAAGCATCAAAGCTTGAGGAGGGCTAGAGTCCTCTTTCTTTATTTCCAAGAGACCATCTTCTGTCTTTCTTCTTCTTTCTATCCTTCCTGTTTTCTCTGACTTCTACTCATTCACTTTGCAAATGACCCCAGATGGTGACTACTGCGTGTCCTACTACAGCCAATTAGCTCAACCTCTCAGTGTCATTTGCAAATCGTTTGGAAAGAAAATTTATAAACGCCCAGTCGAGGCCAATCATTTCTATGAGTGAAGTCATGTAATTCAGCTCCATTTGGGCCAATCGCTCCAGCATATTGGAGGAGGCACAGTGTACAGAGAAGAAGGCTGTAGGAGGGATTGTATCTGTTATAGAAATACCTCTCTTAAGTTCCATCAGTGCTTCAATGAGCCCTTTCTGGGTCTTGGTCCCCTTGGAGAATCTGATGGAAGATAGAGATCTTCTCACCTTAAAAATCTCCTGAGGCACAATCAAAATTTTGCATGTAGTTTAGATGAGTTCACAAGACTCCTGAAATTTGACTTATGTGACTTGAAATGTCCATAACACAAGTAAGCCAACTATTTAGGAGAAACATACCTCCATAATATCCAAATGATGACGAACAGTTAAAAACTATACTTTGAGAATAGAATTTAAAAGCTGCTAAGTCCTCCCATACAGCAGGCTCTGTGCTAGGTTCAGTAAGGAACAGAAAGTGGAATGAGACAGGATTTCTTCCCTTAGGGAGCTCACAGTCTGCTGAATACATATGTAAACAATTAGACTTAATGCCAGACATTCTGAACTATAGCAGCAATATGGGTAATGTGCTGAGGAAACTGAGGAGGTAATGATTAATTCTGAATAAAATATAACACTTCACAAGTTTTTATTCCTCTGCATGCAATCTGATACATATATATCATCATTTTAAAGAAACCTAGACAATTCAGAAAAGTTCTTCTAGTTGCTGATAAACTGTTCTGCTGCCTGAGCTTGTATTCCAGGACTCCTCATTTTATTCTTTTCAATTCATGAGCTCCAAACCACTGCAATCTGCTGTAGAGCAGAGAACATGGGGCTTTACCGTCAGACCGACTTGAGTTTACATCACCACCATGTCACTCACTAACTATGGGTCTTTAAGCAAGGGATTCTAGTTCTCTGAACATGTTTCTTTACTGGTAAAGAAAAATACCTATTTTGCATTGCTTCTTAAAGAAATAATGATAATGTTTATAAAACACTTAGCACAGCCTCTGAAACCTAGTAGGGACTCTAAAATGGTTGTTATTATTTTTATTTTTATTTATAGTCAAGTATACAGATTCCCTGTCAGAAAGTATTAAACATCTCTATTAGGGAAAAAGTGAGAATAATCTCTCTGTAAGGATTCTGTACCAATTGCCACAGTAATTGCCATAGTAATGCTGCATAACAAACCACTCTCAAAACTCAGTGGCTTACAATAGCCACTCGTGGTTTTGTAAGTTGACTACCATTCAGTTGATCTAGGTGGGCTTACCTGAGCCACTCTGCTTAGGATGTAGATTAGTTGGTCTTGGTCCAGGCTTTGGGTTTAATTCAGGATTGTTCCTCATTTTTCTTTCTGGAGCTGGACTGAATGGACAAACCTGAGCATGCTATGAGTACAGATCAAAGACAGCAGAGCCAGAGAGCAAGCCCAGCCTTGCAAGCATGCCTCAAAACTGCTAACATCTCTCTGGCCAGAGAAAATTACACAGTAAATACCATAATTAAGGGGAGATAAAGTACACTTTGCCACAATGAGGCCAATAATTCAATCTTCCACAGTCCCTGTGTAAAAGAAAAGGCAGAAACTACAATGAACATCTGAGAAAGAGAAGACCGAAGAGGTAGAAGCCAGATGCCCAGAGGTGCAATTACACATCTTTCCACTACCCACAGCCTCTCTATGAACTCTGTGGCCACATTCTACCTTGGATACTGGACTGCAGAGAGAACTCCAAGTACTGCAGCCTCTGCTTTCTATGGCCACAGAGTGGTCTCCTTGCACCCCTCCCCCAGTCTTGACCACAGTCCACATTGTGTACCTCTTCTCTGTGTGCCCATGCAATGACTTCTGACACCAACTACCTGGAGCTGGGCCAAACCTCACAGGTTAAGGGACAGCCTTCACAAGACTGCCTTCACTTTAGGCACCAGCTGTAAGTTTGGGGGTCCCAATGCCACTTACACTTCTGACGTGCTGGTTATAAATGTGGACATTCTCACTAGTCCCTCAGGTTCAATCATTTGCAGCAACAACTCACAGAACTCAGGAAAGTGCTATCCATCTGATTACAGTTTTATTATAACAAAAAGATATAAATCAGAACCAATCAAAGGGAGAGATATAAGGGCAAGGTCTGGGAGGATCTCAAACATGACTTTTCCATTGTCCTCTCCCTAGGGAGTCAGTCTGCCTTACTCTCCTGGCACGTGGATGTGTGACCATATGCAGAGTATTGCCAAACAAGGAAGCTCACCTGAGCTTTGGTGTCTGGAGTTTTTATTGAGGTTTCATCATAGAAACACGATTGATTGAATCATTGGCCATGAGGTTGAGCTGAAGCTCCAGCTCTCTTCTTCTCTGAAGGCCCCAGCTCTCTAATCATACAGTTGGTATTTTTGGCATGGCCAGCTCCCATCCTGAGTCATCTCATTAGCACAAACTCTCTTTAGGCCCACTATGAACAGAAGGGATACTCCTATCAATCAGGAAATTCCAAGGGTTTAGAGGATATATCCCAAGAAGTGGGGACAAAGGCCAGTCAAACTTTTCACTCCAAGGATCCACCTGAGACAAAGGCTAGCCACATTCTTTACTACACACCCCATCTGTGTTTTCCACTGGACTTCAAGCTCTTTAAAAGCAGAGGAGATGTCCTTCTCAACTCTGCATAACTCACAGCCGCTAGCCCAGCACCCTCCTGGGAAACACTGATTAAACTGATAAAGGTAAAAGCTTTAGACAGCCAGAGAGGTTTAGGATAAATGAGTTGGAAGAGCCTTTGGAGACCATTTAGACATTCCAACACATTCGTTCTATGCATGAGAAAATGAAGAACCAAAGAGTGTTTGTGATAACCCCAGAACACGCATTGAGCAAACTAAAGACCTGTTTTAGGGTTCTATTATCTAAAACTGGACACTCAATCCCCGCCGCCCTGCCTTTACATGCATGAACACGGACATAAGGATACATACCTCACTTTCTTACATCAAAGAAACCAGTCATAAGCTATGAAAAGGGGAGAAGTAACAGATGTAAGGAACTGAAACATCCCGACCTCCCCATGCTTCTTTCCTGCTCTGCCCTGAGAAGTAAAGTACATTCCATTTTCATCAGTTTGTTAGCATATAAGGCTTCTGAGATGGATGTAATCATCTTTTTCTTTTTCTTTGTTCTGTTTAATCCCTGCCCATTGCCAATCCCTTAAATGTTAAAAAATAAATCCTAGGACCAGGGCTTCCCTGGTGGCGCAGTGGTTGAGAGTCCGCCTGCCGATGTAGGGGACACGGGTTCGTGTTCCGGTCCGGGAAGATCCCACATGCCGCGGAGCGGCTGGGCCTATGAGCCATGGCCACTGGGCCTGCGCGTCTGGAGCCTGTGCTCTGCAATGGGAGAGGCCACAGCAGTGAGGGGCCCGCATACCGCAAAAAAAAAAAAAAAAAATCCTAGGACCAAAATATATTTTAACATCCCCATCTGGAGGGAAGATTTCTTTAAGTTCTTTTTCCTAACTAATTCTAATGTGCTCTAGCAGTCTTCCAATTACACAATTGTCCAGGAGGGAGCAGAACATACTTCTAACATCTATCCTCGTACACTGAAGTGCTCAGAGAATGTTGGCTAAGTGAATAATAGAGTGAGTGTTTTTCAAAAAATTTCCCAGCATACGAAGATTAGTCTAGTTAGATGCCTCCTTACTCTCTTCATCTTAACTCTCCACTTTTCCATCATCACTGAGAGATAACAGTACTGTTATCCGTGTGGAAAGTCATCTTTCTCTTTTACATACCATTCCTAGCCAGTCTGGTCGTGGAGAAAATATTTGCACTATGCAATATGGTACATGTATTAATTATAGAACTTTTGAACCCATTAATTTTCATTTCAGAAGATGAAACCAAAGCATGGAAGAGGCAAAGGCTGGTAGCATTGGACGTGCAGCTAGGCAGTGAGCTTACCTAGATGTAAACCCTCAATTCATGTTTGCTGAGTCTGAACCCTAACACAAGACTCAGGGTAACATGCATCTCAATCTTTCATTCTCAATAATGAAATTGTAACATGGAAAAATGCATTTGTCTTTTCAGTGAGCTCAACTCATGCCTACCCAAAGCTGGCTCCATACCAACCGGTAGGACAGCTCCTTTCTCCCCCTTTGCTGTTGTCAGTCTTTTTAAACACCTGCTTCACCTGCATTGTGCAGGTCTGTGCATTTCTCTGTGTGAAGCAGCAGCCCTGGTATTGTGAGGTCTACAGACACAGGTCAAGTTTGGCTTCTTAACTTTCCTTTCTGAAGGTGGTACAATGAACACCCAATGACGCTGTTCAACTTGTTTTGAATATATATTCTAAACTTTTAATTAACCAAAGTTGTTTCCAGACTGCAAAACACCAGTGATGGGATAGAACACAGAACACAGTCAATGGGTGGAGTGCTGGAATGAGCCATGTGGAGTGGGTGGGGAAAGATCTTCACATTGGCTGTTGATGCATAGATGTAATGGCTGGTTGACTGAATGAATGTATTCATTTGCTGGTGGTTTGGATATCATATAGACCAGGGGTCAGCAAACATTTCTTGTAGATGGCCAGGTAGTAAATATTTCGGGCCTTGTGGGCTCTGTGGGCTCTGTTGGAACTACTCAACTCTGCTGTTGTAGTGAAAAAGCAGTCAGAGACAACATGTAAACAAGTTAGTGTGACTGTGTTCCAATAAAACTTTATTGACAAAACCAGGTGGTGAATCGGATTTGGCCAATGGGCTATAGTTAACCAGCCGCTGATATACAAGAGATTTGCTTAAATTAGTTTCAGTTTTTCAAATGAGTGTTAAAATGTTCATTGATGGTATCATTGTTCTGATGGAATCGAACAGTAGACTCAGGGCAAATCTCTGCACCTTCCAGGGCTTTAATTTCCTTAACTATAAATTAAGGGTAAGATGAGGTGAATTTAGATGTTCAAACATTTTTTTGACAAAGCCTGCCCGAATTCCAAAAGGAAAGGCAGAAAGAGCTGCTCTTTTTAAGGTAGGGCTTGTACAAACTCCCCCTCACTCCACTGTCATCCTGAGGGCATCAGAGTCCCAGGGATCAGTGAAGGACAGATTGAAAACTACAAAACGATGTCTAAGACGATCATTTAGACCCCCAATTCAGCAATTCAAGTATTACTTAGAATATAGAATTGATTTTTGTTTCAAAACCAGACTTTTCCCCAAATTGGAGTGCACGTATTCAGAGAAGTGACCTTTTGATTGAATCTAGGAAACATGGTATAGCCAAAAGGGTGATGGATGGGTAGTCCTATCTCTGTCATTAACTAGCTATGTCACTCTAGCCTTCAACTTTTTTTTTAATATAACTTTATTTATTTTATTTATTTATTTTTGGCTGCATTGGGTCTTCGTTGCTGCACGCGGGCTTTCTCTAGTTGCGGTAAGCGGGGGTTACTCTTCGTTGCAGTGCGCCGACTTCTCATTGGGGTGGCTTCTCTTGTTGCAGAGCATAGACTGTAGGCATGCGGGCTTCAGTAGTTGTGGCTTATGGGTTCGGTAGTTGTGGCTCGAGGGCTCTAGAGCACAGGCTCAGTAGTTGGGGCACACGGGCTTAGTTGCTCCGTGGCATGTGGGATCTTCCAGGACCAGGGCTCGAACCCGTGTCCGCTGCATTGGCAGGTGGATTCTTAACCACTGCACCACCAGGGAAGCCCTAGTCTTCAACTTTTTTATCTGCCATGTAAGTATACTGGATTGGATACATTTTGGTGTTAAATTCTGTAATTCAGGCCTTCTCGTCTGTCTGTCCTCCTTATGCAAGAAAGCTTTGTGACTGCTGATTGTTTCATTAATTTATTCTACAGACAGTAACTGAACATCTACTGTATGCAAAGCACATTTTGGCCTAGGGAGCCAAGGATAATATGACTTAAGTCTTGCATTTGAGTTCACAATTGAAAAATGAATTTTATCTATAAACAGTTATAATAGTAGTAAAAAGTTTCGAGCTGAACAAGAAAGCTGATGAAAACAAGTTTATTTGTGGGCTTGATTATTGAAAAAAAGAATATTACAAATGGATCAATCCAGACTGGGAAAGCCCATGTCTTAAAAAATATATTTTTCTGAGCAAATATCATGTGGCATCACTGTGCTAGGTGCTAAGGATTTGTTATATAGTCGAGTAAAACAAACAAACAAAAGTAAAACCAAAAGAAATATTCCACATTCAAAGAACTCTCATCCCAGGGGTGGAAAATAAAAATATGTAAAGGAGTAACTGCAAAACAATGAGCTAAATGCAGCACTAGAGAGAAGAATGGGGAGCACTAGTTATGCTTGCCACTGAATGTAAAGATGTTTCAGATACAGTGATCTTAGAGGAAATAGGATATCTGGACCCAGAGGTGTACAAATTGGGGAACAGGGAATATTTCCCTATGACTGGAATATAAGGGCATGGGAGGTCTAGCAAAAGATGTCTCAAATCGTTCCTTGACACCAGAGTGTGAAGGTCTTCTGGGCCTGCCTGAGAAGTCTGAACTTAATTTATTAGCAAAATAGAAACACAGACACTCATAAGCCGGAGAATGTTCAGATCCTCAGGAAGAGGCTTTGCTTGTGTGAGGAGAGTGTATCAGAGTGGGCACATTCAAACTCAGGACCCATGTTAAGAGGCTTACATTAGTCCACTAAAGCAAACACACCACACACACGTGCACACACACACACATAGATTTCATATGTTCCGAACTGAAAAGGATTCCATAGGAAATTGTCATCCAAGCCCTTTCAAGGCAGATCATTTGCTCCAGATGGAATTCTGGACAAAGAACAATCTTGACTTCCTCTGCATTTTATTCATGCTTTGTCGTTGCAAGAGGTGAACAAAATATGTCCTGGTAGTTACTGGCTGGAACAGCTTGCAAGGTGAGGTCTCCTGGTTGTGATTAACTAATTTTTTCCTACCAGCTGGATAAAAATAGAATAAAGGGGAGATCCGAATTTCGCGGCACGCAGTTTCGCGCTAAAAAAAAAAAAAAATAGAATAAAAAGTTCCATAAATGCTGGTGATTGTTTTCTAGTAAGTGCTTTCTGGACAACCAGAGTAATTTCTCAACAAATGTGAGTTTGGAAAGAAACTGGACTGGAAATGCAACTCTGATTCCCGGTTCAGTTTTAAGTTTTGAGAGTACCACGCTATGGCCCATCACCACCATCAACTGTATCACAGCAACATTTATCTTTTCTAAGGGAAAGCCATTTCGAAAACCCATCTATACAAACTGTAACTATGAAGTTTAATTTTTCTTTTCAAACATTTTTTTCTACTCTCCCACCATCCCTAGAATTGCAACTCACTGGTGAAGTGATTGGCTGAGAAGGAAACAATTGCATTACTCTAAAATTGAGTACTGAACCATAATTGTCACAGGTAGTAGAGCCCATGGGCAGAAACCTGCTCATGTGCACGTAAGTACGTGCTATATTGAATGGTCACGAGTCCTGTCCTAATTTGAGTCATCAAGAATTGTTTTAAGCACATACACTTATGTCAAGATATTTTGTAAAAGGCTTTCTAACCAATTCAAATACAATTTGACCTCTTAGTAGTTTTATAACTTTAGGCAAGTCATTTTAATCATTCTGTGCATTTTTTTGATCATCAGTGACAATGAATGTATTTTCGTGTTATTAGTCTTTCTTCTTCTCTGAATGGTCTACATTTTATATCCGTCTTTTTTTTCTGTTTGGCGGCTGCTATATTTCTTATTTATTTGTGAGTTGTTTATTCCTTTGTGATTTTTTTCCACTACCTTTATTCATAAAGAGCTTTTTTCTCATTACAAAATGAGATAGATCATCACTCATTTAGTTTTTAAATTTATTTTAATGCTTTTTAAATCTAATGCTAATTTTGGCATATAGTTTGAGGTAGAGATCAAACTAGTTTATCCAACTAGTCACTAGTTCTCCCAGCAGAGTTTATTATTTAACATTCCTTTCGGTCATTTATTCAACTGAATATAATTCCACCTTTATCATACCTATATACATGTATATTTATGGTTTTCTGATATATATAATTTATATGTTTTCGTATTATATTTATGTTATATATTAATTTATATATAATTAAGTTGTTTCTCGACTGTCTTTTATGTTTCATTGATAGGCCAGCCTATTCTTTAATCTACTATTATACTTTAGAAATTATAGTTTTATAATGATTTAATAAGTAATAAGATTGGTATATCATCATTACTCTTCAGCTTTCAAAAATCTCTTACTTTTCTTTCTTCTCCATTCTTCCAAATAAACTATAGAGTAAATTGCCAGGCTTTTAAAAAAATCTCCTTTGGGATTTTAATACTAGGAGAAAAATGTATTTGTTTACACAATTTAGTATTCACATTTAAGAACATGTCATGTCTTTCAGTAAATATTTGTAGTTTCCTCCATTATAGATCCTGCACATGTATTAAAAACACTGATCCCATGCTTTTCGTATTTTTGTTTATATTGTGATTGACTTTTTCCCATGATATTTTCTAATCAGTGATCACAAATGCATGTGAAAGGTATAGTGTTGTTTATTGTATTTATTTTTCTACTCCGAATCCTTTCTGAACTTTGCTGTAAATCCTTGATTTTTGAGTGTTCTAGAAAGATAATTACTATTATCTGCAATTAACAACGTTCCTCCTTTTCAATAGCGAAAATGCTTACTCTTATGCTCTGTTTTGGTGCACAGTCCAGAACTCCCAAGGCAATGTCGAGCAATAGTGGAAACAGCAGGCAGTCCTACTCCCTCATAACAATACTTCTAGTAGTTTTCGATTGTAAATATGATTTTGAACATTGGTTCAAGGTGAGCCACATCATGTAAAGAAAATACCCTTCTATTTCCAGTAAATCAAGATTATGTTTTAAAATAAAAAATGGGGGGGCTTGTCTTCCCAAATCACCTGTGCAAACAGAGCCCATTCTTTCAACTTTCCTGATCAATAGCAACTAACCAAGGAGGGCAACATTCACTTCAGTTCTTTATTACGTTTTCCAGTCAAAGCTGAATTAAAGAAGAGAGCCTTATCATTTTGTTTCTACACTGCTCATTTGTGCCCTAGCCTGGCCTGCTTTTCAGATACTAGTCTGAGCACAGCAGCCAGCCCAGTTCCAGTGAGTACCAGGCCTTCATCAGGATGGACATTTGGGGCATCATATTCTTCCCAGCATCTGGGTCCTTGGGACTTGGAAACAATGAAGTAAGTGAAAAATCCATACAGCCATCTCCTGGGGGTATTCTCATCACCAAGCTGCTCAGATTGTTTTATTTTAGGAGATGCAGCTCCCTCTTTTCTTCTGTCTCACACCCCTCTCAAGCAAGCCTGGGCATTCTTCCAAGAGGTTCTACCTCTAGTTGTATATATAAAATGAGGCATGGATGAATATGAGGGTGGGTGTAGGTGGTGAGAGGGAAAACCGAGCCCTTGTGGCTTCAAAAAGTAGGGTCTGCTGTAGAAGGACAGTCGCCTCTGGTTTCTGGTTGGTATAGACCTCTATGGAGTTGGGAGCCAATAGACCACCAACACTGGAATAAATGAGGTAGAGAGAATCTAAGAGAAAATCTAATTTGTTTGTTTATAAATTTTGAGTATTGTAAGAATCATTTATATCATATCAACACTGATTAAATGCTATTGTTTCGGCCTGAAGGTGTTCATCCCATCAAAGAGCATTTATAAGGCACCGTCTACAAAGCACCTGAAAATTCTGATGGACACAGGAGTGGATGGGTTTGGGGGATAAGAACAGGGATGTTGGCACAGTGCATCCTGAGAAGTTGAGCGCCCCAAAGTAAAGCAATGTGGGCAGGTTGGAGATAAAGAAGCCAGCAGTTGTGCATGCTAGTTTCTCACTTCCTCATTCAATTAGAGTCCCAGAAAAGCAGATAAAAAGTCCCTTTCAGGTGGTTACAGCCTAGTGGATACATAAATGAAGACCATGTAAAGCAGAGTGATAGACACCATATGAAGTAAAACTTGGTAAGGGAAGACTGGGGAGTCTTTAAAAGAAAGTGGTGTTGGAACTGGGCTTTCTAAGAAAAATTGGGGGTTTCCCTGGTGGCAGAGTGGTTAAGAATCCGCCTGCCAATGCAGGGGACATGGGTTCGAGCCCTGGTCCGGGAACATCCCACATGCGGTGGAGCAACTAAGCCCGTGCGTCCCAACTACTGAGCCTGCACTCTAGAGCCCGCAAGCCACAACTACTGAAGCCTGCATGCCCAGAGCCCGTGCTCCGCAACAAGAGAAGCCACCGCAATGAGAATCCCGAGCACCGCAACGAAGAGTAGCCCCCGCTCGCCACAACTAGAGAAAGCCTATGTGCAGCAGCGAAGACCCAACGCAGCCAAAAATAAATAAATAAATTTAAAACAAAAAAAGAAAAATTGGAACTTGCCAAGACTGGGAGAATATCATCTACGCAGGGTATTTTATGAACCAAGGCACAGGAGTGTTGGGCCTCTGTGGAAGCAGCAGGCTTGTGGTTTAACTTTCCTGGCACATAGGGGAGAGCAACCAGAGATCAGTTTAGAAAGGCTGAATGGAGCCAGATTGTGGAAGGCCTTGAATGTCAATCATTCAAGACCCTTGGACTTTATTCTCTAGGCAATGAAGAAGAGTGAGGTGTCACCAAGAAGAATGACTGTTTATTTATTCATGAACGACACTAGACCTGAGGTGATAAAGCATCAGGATCTCTCTGGTGACCATTTACATGGGCTGGTCACTGCAGGGTGTCCCAGCCCCAAGGACTCCTCAGTTGAGGTAACTCCTTTATGGAGTTTACTAGAATATGTTTAATTAACAGCTTCTAGGCTCAGCCTTTGAAGGAAAGATTTTTAAGATATCACCTTTGTCTTGAAAGCATTAGAACATATTTTAAAACATATGAGGATATATCAAAACATCTGAAGATGTATCTGGTATTTGCCCAACAGAGATAATTGATTCTGCAACGTGTGTGCCAAATTATAGGAAACATTCCTTTAGCATCTAAAAATACTGTTTGCTGTTTCTTCAGATATATTCTCACTTCTGCTGGTATCTGCCTTGGGCCTCACAATTTCCATTCTGTTTTCTGCTTTTCAAGATATATACCGTGGGATGGAGGCACATGACATCCGTGACTCGCATGTGCAGTGGGGCCACATTTGCACTGTAATTTGCAAGTCATTTACTCCGATATCCTCTCTGGCCACTGAATGTGGTGAGGCTATTCTCACTTACTAGAAGAGCAAATAACATGTCTCCATCGCACACACGCTAGCCTCTGAGTGTTTTCATGTTATTAGGGTCATCAGCTGGGTTCATTTGTTCTGTTCATACCTGGAACACCAGGTTTGGATATTTTATTCTTCCATGTTATACTAATACAATAATTAATCCTTCAAGCTTATTTTTTAAATCATATAGTAGAAATCCTTTATAATGTAATTGTGAAGAGTGAGAAAAAATAGACTTATAGGACAATCGTGTTCTGTCTGTAAGGCAGTGACTGTAAGGAATTTCAGTTCAGTGGGCAGCACTGGACCCAGGGTGCACTGGGTTAAAATTAAATTTATTAAGAAGTTATTGAGCCCATTTTTGGACCCAGCATTGTGAGAGAAATAAAAGAAAGAGAAAGATTGACTCTGGCCCTCTACCTCTTGTTTTGTTTCAAAGATGAGCCATACCCAAGTGAAACGATGGCATGGCCACCTGAGGCCGTCCATGCTTGAAGAGAGTGTAAAATAGAGAGAAGTGGGAAGGACATAGGAAGGAGGAGCTCTCTCTGGGGCAGGATCCTCCTGCCGTAGGAGATTTCATGCAGGAGATGAAACTTGATCTGGCCCAGAAGGATAGGCTAGGTTTTGCTAAGTAGGAGGCGGGTATAGTCCCAGGCAGGACAACAGCCTAAGCACAAACAGAGAGGGATGCATGATTCTCTTTTGCCTTGGAAATGCAAAAGAATGTAGGGTGGCAGAGAGAAAAATCAAAAGCAAGCCTTGTTTCACAGAACACATGGAAAATTAGCTAAGACTGAGGCAGCATGCTGCGGAATAGGCACGGATGGAGGTAGGCGGACAGTGATGTTTTGACTCTATGCTGAGAACAATGCGAGTCCTTGAAGATATCGGGGCAGGTTTTTCAGCGGGGCACCTAAGACACATTCGTTAGATGACAGCAGGAAGGCTGTATGTGAGAGCAGAGAGGCTGTGGAGAGAGAAGCAGTTAGGAAATGAAAACCCAGACCATTCAGTCATTTACAAAACATCAAGCTCCAGGGTGGGTTTGGCACTGGGGTTACAAAGAGTAAGATGCAGTCACCACTCTCAAGTAGCTCAGAAGCTAGGAGCGGAGAGCATCACAGAAGCAAATTCCAAACCAGTGTGGCCAGTGCCTTCCAGGCTAACAGATGGAAAAGAGACCTCCCAGATCAGGGTGGTGGCAGCAGGAGGGAAAGGGCCAGTCTATCCACTACCATCTGACCCACTGTCGAATCTTACAGCCTTCTCCAGACCACCCTTTTACCCAGGGAGCCTATTTCACAACCCTAAAAAAAGCTGTCTCCACTTAGGGGAAAAAATAACATAGTGTTACTTTGAAATAACCCCTATCAGAATAGGGATGAGAATCGAAGGTGAGCATTTAGACACTGCGGAAGGCCTGTGGCTTCAGTCCTAAACGCAGCCCACCCTCTTCACAGTCATCCTACGTATTCTATACCCTTTAGGGTCTGAAAGGGAGCTGCATAACTATTCTTTTGCTATGGAAGCAGCCATGGAAAGTTGTAGCTCTCACACCTATTAAATAAGTGTCCATGGAAAGTTGTAGCTCTCGCACCTATTAAATAAGTGTATCTGGTGGTCAAGGTGTATTCTCTAATCCTTAAAAGGAGGTGGGTTGGGCAGGTTCAACTTTCATCAAGCCATTAGATTTAGGGCTGGGAACATTATTCAAAATTTTTTCACCTAGTTTCTATCAAAATAAACGTGAACTTCTGTCCCCCTTTTGTTTCTTTAACTCATATGTCAATTTTACTGAAAGAACGAACTCCAGGTAGCTTTTGCTTTGGGAGAATTAGAAGTAATAATATTATTAGATGAACGATTTAATCTTCCCTCTATTTGAGAAGATAAAAATGAAGAGAGACACACAGGCTCCAAAGTGTCCAGTCTCATGTCTGCGACCCAGGGCACGTTTACTCCGTGTCTATTGTCAGGCAGCGGAGGGAACACAGGGCAAGAGGCAGTCAGATCTGATTTGAATTCTGGCTGTGCCATTTATTTATTGGTGTTGATTCCTTGGGCAAGGTACTGACCTTCTCATCTGTAAAGTGGAGAGAGTAATGCCAACCCTCCAAGCCCAAAGAGTTGTCACAAATACATAAATTAAATTAGATAATAGGTGTTCTTTTGAAGTGTAAGGTATGCAGAGTATAACGGTAGCATTTATTTTTCAACAGTTCATCCTAACCATCACATCATGGAGGATTTCAATTTTGGTGGCAGCCCTCACCCAATTCTGTGTGGCCTTCTGTGTAGTGGTAAAGAAATCTCTGTATAGCTCTTATTATTTTTCTGGAGAGATAAATAAAGGACTGACTCTCAACAGATGCTCATTTTTTAGAGCAATCACTTTAATCCCCCAAAGTGATACTGCACATGTTCTCTTTGGGGGAAATGAGAAATTCTTTGAAGGCTGCATAGAAATGCTCTCAGTATCTGTAGTGTAGAAAGCAAAACATCAAATTAACTAATTTTGTCTCACATGAAGGCATTGTATTGTACTTTCCTAGTATTTTTAATAATCTGGTAGAGACTAGACCAGGTGACCTTCTAGCTCTAAAATTCAATGAGACTTTTTAGGGTGAAGGAAGTCTTCAGGAAGGCTTCCTTAATTAAGAGAGAAGGGAAGCCATTGTTCATTCTAGTCAATTCTTACCCTTTGAAGGTCTTCTCCTATAGCATTTCTCTTCTACTCAGTGTCACTAAATGACTTTACCTACTCAGTGAAAGGCTCAGGTACTATTTTTCAAGGGACAGTTAAATAAAAAGATTCATGTACTGAAGTTCCTTGGGAAAAGGCATCGACCAAGTTAAGAAAAAATATGTTTATATACAAATATCCCGTTGTACACAATGCACATAAAATTTCTCACAGTCAAAGGAATTCCATTTTTGAGACTTTATTTTAAAAAACAACCTAAAAAGAGAGAAGAAACTTGTGTGTATGAAGGTTTTCATCATAGTATTATCTACAGTGGCAAAATATTAAATTCAACTCAAGTGTTCAGAAGTAGAGATGCTGTTTAAATAAATAGTAATACAGCAATTTGAAGAGATCTTATACAATCATTAAAAATGATTATTGAGAAGATGGTAGCTACAAACTGTATATGACAGAGAGTCTAGTATAAACAAAAGTGGAATGCAAGATTTGACCAATTCTATTATTATAAATGCATAAAAACTGTGTGTACTTGTAAGCACAGAAAAAAGAGACCCCCCCCCAAAAAAAAATGGAAAGCAAAACCCATTTGCTTTCTAGAGTTCATTCATTCATTCAACAAATCATTATTTGACACCTTCTTTGTGGCATGGCGCAGGTAGCAGTGATTTTTTTTCTTCTCTTGATTTTGAGTACATTATTTTGTTATCATTTCAGTCCGGCAGTAAAATAATTCTAAGTGAATTGCCAGCCAGGATTGAACTAGGAAATCTGTGGAAATGAAAGGCTGTAAGCTTTTGGAGATTTCTGTGAACACAAGCACGCTCTCAATTCTCAAGGGAAAGAACCCGGGGAGCTGCTAGGTTTCGTGGGGCTGCAGAGAGAAGGGGCCACAGCATCAGTAATAAGAACCTTTAGAGCAAGGCCTGGGAAAACAAGGGTGGCAGTAAGCAACCTGGCTGCCAGGGGAAGTGGATGATGGTTTAATTGTTTTTTCCACCTGATTTTCCATCCTTCAAAATCGAGAGCTCTGGCTACTGATCAAGAAAAAATGTGGAATCCATTCTAAAAGTCAATATAAGAACTGGCAAAAAAAAAAAAAAAAACTGGCAGAAGACCCAATCTGGCCTCCCACAAACAGGACAGATTATTCAGGCGATGGCACAAATGGATTCTACATCAACCAAGGCTATGAAAGCTCTGAATAGATTCCAAAAGAAAAACTCGAATTGGGAGGCCAAACCACAGAACAACATTTTTGGACCAGATTGTAATCAGAATTGTTAACAGCATCCCTCTTTTACCCAGAAACTAAAACACTGTAGAGAGGTGATGATAGTCTACGCTTATCTTTTCTTTCTCCATCTGAAGATTCAAGCCTTGCAACAAAGGACCTTAAATATGTTTATTTTGACTGTATCCTCTACCATTGAGAAAAATAATGCATTTCCTAGAGTATCGGTTTTTTTCTAACAAACTTTATTCACAATGCATAGCATTATCCTGGTTAAAATGCACAACTTTTCACGGTAGTAAAATTAATAGTATGAACATCAATAGAAGAAAGAAAAAATGAAGGACAGTTTGATCTTTGAAAGTTTCATCAACATATTTTTACTTTCATCTATGGAAATAAAGGAATCTGAAAAAAAAAAGCTTCTCTCAATAAATTGTCACATGTTTACTTAACCTTATATTCACTTGCAAAGAACATTTATGCATGTATCTTTTCCCAAGGTCACAGAATTCCTCGTTTTGCTTCTTTATATGGTTTTAATAGAGAAACAAGAATTGAAATTTACTTCAGAAAATTCAGCTCTAACTGTGGTAAGTGTGGAATGATGGAGGTGTCTGATAATTGCCTATAATCTTGGCTTGGGCACAGCTAACATCTAAGCAAACTCCACCGAAGTTGGCATCTCCCAAAGTATATTGTTTTGGGGCCTGTGAGCTAGAAGGTCCAGAGTAGATCACAAAGGTAATGAAATAAACTATTAAAATGTACTTTTCACTCAAAGAAGCATGGCACCTTTATTTGCTTTTTATTACTGACAGAGGAAAATCTCAAGTTCTAACTCCAAAAGTTGGCCCAGACCCAGCATTGCTCATCTTAAAAGAAGCAATCCTAGGGAAGGGACCCATAATGTTTGTATCTACAGCATGACAATTCTCAGGATGCTAAACGACTTAAGTTCCATTTCATCTTTTCATAATCTAAATCAATTATCAGATGCACATTAAGGACCACAGAACGGGTACATGCTTTACAAATATATTCTACACTTTATTACCTTTAACATATATCAACCTCACTGTGACCTTGAGAGGATATTTATTCCTAGTGAACATTTTAAATTCCCTACTAGGCTTTCCTTGAAAGCATAAATCTAATTTTGCTAATTAAACAGATCTTTAATGGGTCATAGGCAATTAGTTAACCAGTCCCATTCTAAGAGTGCCCATTACGTGCCTAATGCTGTGATGCATGGATTCAATCATGTCTTTCCAATTCTGAAATCCTTAGGATTGAAAAAGTGTTTTCAAATTTCAGTAATTCGTTGCTGTAAATAGTATTATATGCTTTTTACACAAACCAGCAGCATAAATGCAAATTCCTATTCAAACAAACATTTTATTTTTATTTTATTTTTAATCTTTTCTTGGATGTGCAGCTCTTGGAGAGTGACAATTTTTAAATGTGTCTAATTTAGCTTATGATTAAGAAATACATGTCAACCTAAAACACGGCAGCTCAGGTTCCTTGAGCTGAAATATCTGTATTTAGTAATTTGACCTTTAGAATGAGAAGATTCAATTGATACACTATGACATGTAGGTAGCATAAAAAGATTTTTTTTAAAATCTTTTTTCAACAAATGTACAGCCTCCCACCACTCAGGTTTTCAACAACCAATTAGGTATCTGATAGGCGATGATCTTTATTTCACACATCTTTTTTGAAGGTGGAGACTGGACATGATAAAGTTGGACTCTACACTAGACTTCATTAAAAATACACTCAGAGAAAGGTTAAGTAGTCTTGGGGAAAATGTTTGATGAAAACACAATGAACATGGCCACATATCAAATGATCACCTATAGGAAAAACAAACCAGACAGCCTTAAGTGGCCCATCACCAAGAGTGGCCACTTTTTGAGAAGACTGATGGCTAACTTTGTGAGCTTATCCCTAAGGCTGAAAACTGCTAGAGACTTGAACACTACCTGTGAAAAATGAATCCATGAATTTCATTTAAAAGCACACTTGTGATTTTGCAGTATTATTCAGTATTGCTAGGACTGCCTTCTGGAGTGGACATGTTCAGAGTCCTCTAGAAGGGTTTGACCTGAGGATCCTCAGGATGTCCTCTGTGTTGCCAATTCCATTCCCTCACCCATAGGCCAGTGTGGAAATTTCACCACACCCCAGTCTCCTGTTTAGGGCTAAGATTTGTCCTCTGCAGTTATCTTTATTAAAAAGTAAGCACACCCAGGGAGACAGAACACATTAAGCTGCTGCCAATCTCACCCTGATTAGTCAATACTAGGAAAGAGCCTTTTTTTCTTCTTTTATAATTTTACTATTGAGAGTAGGACATAAAAGGAATATGAAACTGAATTTAGAATAAAAATGCAGGGATAATTTTGGATCATGCTATCAGGTAGGAGACACACCTCCCAGAAGAACAGGGGGGAAGAGAGTTTATCTGCAGGAAGGGGGTTTATCTGCAAACAGAAATGGTGCCATAAGAAAGGGAAGCAATTAGTCAGGGAACAGGAAGAGAGACAGGGTCTCTACTTGCCCTGATGGTAGCACATGACCCCTTCTGTTATCATTATTCTTAACCCTGCAATTAGATTGTAAAGTATTTCTGGCCTGGGAGTAAAATCTAAATCAGTTTAATAGGTCCAAGACTTTCACTGAGTCATCTGTTTACTTTATCTACCATATTCCTGGTTCCCTCATTCCACCCCGAACCCCCTAAATTTACTTAAACTTTTCCTTTATTTAATGCCATACTTTTAATGATGGCACATTAAGGATGTCATTAGCTGGCAGTGTTGTTTGTAGGGTAATGTTATAATATCTGATATAATCCCAGGGTATAGAGACCTGCATCCACTTCTCCCCACCTGCTGCCGATAAGAATTCCACTGGAAAGGTATTAAAAAGTAGTGTGTTTTGTTCAACACATAATCAATAAAATGCAAGGGTAAAATCATGACACTCCTTGACATAGTAAAAGCCTTGAAAAGTAACACAGGATATTGTTTTCTAAATACGGCACCTTAAACCTACATTTAATGATCTCTTGCTAAGGTTAGGAGGGTCAAACTCTTGAAATACTTCAAAATCCAAAGGGAATGATGGAGCTTTGTAGAAGTAACAGCCCACTCCAGCTTCTCACATATTCCTTACAAATGAGTCGCTTCCAGGGAAATCACTGGATCTGAAACACTGGAGCCGAGAGTTCCTTCTCCCATTCACCCCCTGCCCCCATCTACACAGGAGCAAGGAGATGGGTGTCCAGCCTCAAATGGTTTATTAATCAAAAGTTCTTCAAGCTGCCTGACCAAATGCTGAATTTCCAAAATTCTTTTCTCACCAGAAAAGGAATACGAATTTTGATGTCAACCCAAAAATTTGGGGCTCTTAACATTTTTTTTCAAAATCACATATAAAAGGTTCTTTATCCCTCTGGCAAATACAAAATAGTTACCCTCAGGGGAAAGGAAAACAATATTTATAGAAGATAAATGATGATGTGATATTAAGATCCTCTGCTGGTTCACTCAAAAGGCTACTGCTTCTTACTCAAGCTGCCACAGGAAATCTATGCTAGTAGGGAGAAAAATTTCCATGGCTCAGTGATGAGACAATACCAGTAAACAATTTATTAAAGAGCCTGCCATCCATCATTGGAATTTGGAACAATAATGATACATTGAAAATAAGTATTCATCCCAAGTTTCTTTTCCTCCTCACAAATTCCTTCAGCTCCAATATCTCTTCAGTAAATTAATAGTATTTTGCTCTTAGTCTTTTTGGAAACAAGCCAAGGAAAGAGAAGGCACCAGCGGCAGCTGCCACAAACCCAATGGTACTTATTGCTCGGTTGGCCTATAAGGAAACAGGAAACAAACAAAAACACATCTTATTCTAAAAGCATCTCAGTGTCCTAAACCCCAGCTTTAGCTTGTTTCCTAAACTGAAGACCCATTTTAATGTACAATGGATGAATTCAAAACTCAGTGCAAAATTAAAATTCTGTATGCTGATGAAATAAATTTATAATTATTATGACAAAGATAGAAATACACATAGGTAGAGATCCCTCATTTTTTTTTTTTTAAGAAGATGTTGGGAGTAGGAGTTTATTAATTATTTTATTTTTGCTGTGTTGGGTCTTCGTTTCTGTGCGAGGGCTTTCTCTAGTTGTGGCAAGTGGGGGCCACTCTTCATCGCGGTGTGTGGGCCTCTCACTATCGCGGCCTCTCTTGTTGCGGAGCACAGGCTCCAGACGCGCAGGATCAGTAGTTGTGGCTCACGGGCCTAGTTGCTCCGCGGCATGTGGGATTCTCCCAGACCAGGGCTCGAACCTGTGTCCCCTGCATTGGCAGGCAGACTCTCAGCCACTGCGCCACCAGGGAAGCCCGAGATTCCTCATATTTTTATAGTTTCTGAGAGTTTACAAACTCATTATGCCACAATTCCTAATAATTGTCATAGTACCCCTGGGAGGTAGCATTACTCCTGTTTTGTAAAACTTGAGAAGTTAAAAGTGATTTGCCCGAGGGAGGTCGTACCACCAGGATGTTTAGATATAGTTTAGTCTTGAACCATGTGTTCTCCCCCTATGAAACCCCTACCCCCTAAACACATACTGGTTTGGTTGATTCTATATCAAGGTGAATATCCTGTGTGTGTGTGTGTGTGTGTGTGTGTGTGTGTGTGTGTGTGTGTATTGGTTGAGGGGTGTAGACATGATAAGAAAGTGGGAGCACTCATTCAAGAAGTCTGTTAAAAAGATGAGAGCATTTGGATGGACCCGTATGTGTGTGTGTGTGTGTGTGTGTGTGTGTGTTCCTTGACTTCATGTCTGTTAGGAAAATAATTCAGGGATGTGACTTGAGCTCAATACCTATAGGCTCTTATTTGGTAGATACACTTTCTATTCTGATAAACAAACTTCAAGAGAAGTCAATACTGATGATAACTATCATGTCAAAAAGTAATTTCTCATGTAGACAAATGAAAATAAACCACTCTCAAGCTCAACTGTCCATAAAGGAGCTCAGACATTTACATCTTTAAGGGTATTAATCGTCACCATGATGATGGAACTGATGAATATTCACGGTTTCATGGCACTCAACTAATATCGCCTTCCATCTGCAGTG